CCGACCCGCCCGTTAGGGTCTACCCGCCGGATCTGCCCGTCTGGTTCTGCCACTTGTCTTCTGCTCTTAGTCCTCCTCCTGCTATTTTCTCTCGTGCTCCATCCTCCTCCCTTCTCCTTGTCCCTTCCTTCCGTCCGTCCTCTTTTCCCCTGTCTTAGAGGCTGCGCGAAATATACGTTACAGGTAACACACATATAATGTATGTATGTATGTATGTATGTATGTATGTATGTATGTATGTATGTATGTATGTATGTATGTATGTATGTATGTATGTATGTATATATGTATGTATGATTGTATGTATGTATGTATGTATGTATGTATGTATGTATGTATGTATGTATGTTTTCTATGTATGTATGTATGTAGGTATGTATGTATGTATGTATGTACGTACGTACGTATGTATGTATGTATGTATGTGTGTGTATGTATGTATGTACGTATGTATGTATATATGTATGTATGTATTTATTTATGTATGTATGTATGCATGACTAGTTCTATATATGCATATCTGTATATATATACATATATATTTATATATATGCAGCCAAAGGGGTACGATCGAAGACGACAAGGGCGGGTATCGAGGGTCTGGGATATGCGTGTTGAGTGACACGCGAGCAGCTAGGAGCGAACAGTCTGACAATGGGTGTCGAATCCTCAGTTCTAGAGAGTAGTTCCCTACCTAGGCTCTGCCTAGAATGGTTCTTACTGTGTATGCTTAAAGGGCCGGGCAGTGCTCCCCGCCCCGGGCCGTTCCCCCAGGATCCGCCCCGCGGTTCCCCCAGTGACGTTCCCTTAGCTTAGCGTTGCTTATCTCATCTTAGCTTACCTTATTTCACCTTAGCTTAGCTTAGCTTCATCTTGACTCAGGTTTATCTTAACTCAGCTTACCTTCATCTCAGCTTCGCCGAACTTTAGCATAGCAGAGCACAGCATAGCATAGCAGAGCGTAGCACAGCGCAGCGCAGCACAGCATATCATAGCAAAGCCGAGCATAGCACAGCATAGCGCAGCATAGCATAGCATAGCATAGCATAGCGCAGCACAGCACAGCACTGCATAGCATAGCATAGCATAGCAGAGCATATCATAGCATAACATAGCATATCATAGCGCAGATTAGCATAGCATATCATAGCATAGCTTAGCATAGCACAGTGCAGCATGACATATCATAGCTTAGCATAGCATAGCATATCATAGCATAACATGGCATATCATAGCGCAGCATAGCATAGCATATCATATCATAACATAGCAGGGCATAGCGCAGCATAACATTGCATAGCATAGCATACCAACTAATGCTGCTTTCCTAGGGGTTCCAACTTCTAGGTAGGGTCGCACTGGGGTAATTTTTATTGGTCCCCTCTCCGGGGCATATGGTGTATTTTCACATGAAGTGCTGCTCCCAGGGCTCGCACCCGGTTTTCTTCTCAGGGAAAGTCATGGGTCTCGGAGTCGTGTTGTCGGCGCCCGGTTTACAAGAATAGCGGCTCCCGCCTGATATTTTTTGACAATGAGTTCCCAAATCGTTCTCTCGCGTGGGACTTTTTCGCAATGTATTCAGCAATCGCGCTCTCGGGTGGGACTTCCTCGCAATTTATTCAGGCGTCGCGCCTCCAACCTTTAGGAGTCACGCTGTCGCTTGGGCCTTTCTCATGATTTACTTGGGAATCGCGCTATCGCTCGAGACTTCCTCGCGATTCATGCTCACGCTTCGGCAGCCCGCCTGCTCTTTCTGGCCGCCTGGGCCCGCCTTCCCGACCGCCCGTTAGGGTCTACCCGCCCGATCTGCCCGTCTGGTTCTGCTACGTGTTTTCTGCTCCTAGTATCCCTCCTGCTACTCTCTCTCGAGTTCCATCCTTCTCCCTCCCCCTTCCATCCGCCCTCGCTTCCCCTGTTGTAGGGGTTGCGCCAACTACACGCGGCAGGAGGCTTGGGACTCACGCTGTCGCTCGGGCTTTTGATTTACTCGGGAATCGCGCCATTGCTCGAGACTTCCTCGCGATTCATGCAGGACGCACCCTTCATCAAACCGCCTCCTCGAATTGGCCGCCTGGGCCCGCCTTCCCGACCCTCCCGTTAGGGCCTATCCGCCCGATCTGCCCGTCTAGTTCTGCCACGTGTTTTCTGCTCCTGGCCCCCCTCCTGCTATTCTCTCTCGTACTCCATCCTCTTTCCTATTGTCCTTTCCTTCCATCCGTCCTCTCTTCCCCTGCCTCAGGGGCTGCACGAACTACATGTTGCAGGTAATATATATATATATATATATAGACACCCAAGGGGGTACGATCGAAGACGAAGAGGGCGGGTACCGGCGTTGTGAATGGCACGTGGGCAGAAAAGTACGAACAGTTTTACATTTTTTTGTCCGTTTTGTTGTTGTTGTTGTTGTTGTTGTTGTTGTTGTTGTTGAACATTATTAATTCTAAAGAATAATTATTGTTGGGACCCCTGGTGCACGGCCCCCCTGCGCCGCCTAGGCCGCAGCTACATTTTCATCATTTTCGTGAGGAAGCCTCAGGTAATTCGATGTGATCAAGATCCGGTTGTTTTGTTCCCCCCCGCTTTCCCTTGCAAAAAACACTATAAAATGACATTTCTTGTTCTAATATAATCAAATTTCAAGAATCCCTTGCAAAAAATAAGGTAAAGTGGACATTCGCGCGCGCAAGACGAAATCCTTCCAAAAGCTTAGTGTTCGGAGCGATTTTAACATAAAAACATCAAAAAACCAATGGTTTTTCAACAAAAAATGTCAAAATCTCATCCCGCGCGCTCTTGCGGATTCGTAGGAAACCCAACACTTTTTAAACATTTCTGTCAAACGGGCTTTTGCGAGCAACTTTTTCGAACTTCTGCGACAACGGTTGCGCACCTGCCAGGGCCATCATCCCTGTCAAATAATACCATGCGGGACACATTCGTTTTTTCTTCGCGCGCGCACGCCGAAATCTCCAAAAACCATTGGGCTTCTTAAGAATTTTAGCACCGCGCATCATAAAATCACACGAATCGCACCGTAGGTCCTCGAAAAACACCTGCACGACTTTTCAAAATTTCCACCCGCGCGCGCTGTCGAATCCTAAAAAAACCCAATGGTTTCCAACATTTATGTTACATGAGCTCGCGCGAGCTACTTTCGCACGCTCTTGCAACGGGGTTCGCGCGCCTGCCAGGGGCAGATGTTCTGTGGAAGGCTTAACAACTTCTGTGGGTTAACAAGGCTTAACAACTTCTGTGGGTGTACGAACGTAGGCTTAACAACTTCTGTGGGTGTGTACTCCACGCCAGTGTAGTAGCCACGGTCGTCCGCAGGCCACGAAGTGAAGTGTCCGAACGTCATAGGGCGGGAAGCTGGGTGTGGGTGGTGGCGAAGAGTCGTGTGGATATTTGGTAGAGCTTGCACTGCCCCCCCACAAAGTGGGGGTATTGGCTGGCGTCGCATGAAAACCCTGGCACTGGTGAGAACACTGAGCGTTCGGGTAAAGTGATTGTTGTTGTTGTTGTTGTTGTTGTGATGTTTCATTTTTTTTTTTCTGTTGTTGCTGCTGCTGCTGCTGTTGTTGTTGTTATTGTTGTTGTTGTTGTTGTTGTTGTGGTTGTGGTTGTTGTTGTTGTTGTGGTTGTTGTTGTTGTTGTTGTTGTTGTTGTTGTTTTGTGGTTGTTGTTGTTGCTGTTGTTGTTGTCGTTGTTGCTGCTGTTGTTGAGCTTTCATTGCTGACGGTTAAGTTTAGTTGATCCACCCTCCAGGACACATTGTGTTTTTCAAACGAAGGCTGTTCCCTGGGCTCGCACCCGGTTTTCTTCTCAGGGAAAGTCATGGGTCTCGGAGTTGTGTTGTCGGCGCCCGGTTTACAAGAATAGCGGTTCCTGTTTGAGACTTCCTAACGATGTATTGTTACATCGCGCACTTGCGCGGGAATGTCTTACAAAGTATTCAGCAATCGCGCTCTCGGGTGGGACTTCCTCGCAATTTATTCAGGCGTCGCGCCTCCAACCTTTAGGAGTCACGCTGTCGCTTGGGCCTTTCTCTTGATTTACTTGGGAATCGCGCTATCGATCGCGATTCATGCTCACGCTTCGGCAGCCCGCCTGCTCTTTCTGGCCGCCTGGGCCCGCCTTCCCGACCCGCCCGTTAGGGTCTACCCGCCCGATCTGCCCGTTTGGTTCTGCTACGTGTTTTCTGCTCCTAGTATCCCTCCTGCTACTCTTTCTCGAGTTCCATCCTTCTCCCTCCCCCTTCCATCCGTCCTCGTTTCCCCTGTTGTAGGGGTTGCGCCAACTACACGCGGCAGGTAGGGAATGTATATCCCAAGGGGTGTACGATCGAAGACGAAGAGGGCGGGTACCGAGCATTTGGGAATATACGTGTTGAGTGACCCGTGTGCAGATAAGGGCGAACAGTTTTAGCATGCTCATCATTGTTGCTATTGCTGTTGCTATGGCTGTTGCTGTTGCTGTTGCTGCTGCTGCTGCTGCCGTTGATGCTGTTTTTGTTGATGTTGTTGTTGATGTTGATATTGCTGTTGCGGTTGCTGTTGCTGTTGTTGTTGTTGTAGTAGTAGTTGTTGTGGCTGTTGTTGTTGTTGTTGTTGTTGCTGTTGTTGTTGTTGTTGCTGTTGTTGTTGTTGTTGTTGTTGTTGTTGTTGTTGTTCTTGTTGTTGCTGTTATTGTTTTGTGGATATAGTTGTTGTTGCTGTTGTTGTTGTTGTTGTTGTTGCGTAGCGAGCATGTCAGGGGTCCCCCCGATCGTTCCCCCTCGCTTCCTCCGCCGGGGACACGGACGGCCACCGGGTGGCCCCGCTACCTTCCGATTGCGTTCGCGGCGGCAATAGGATCGCCGCAGGCCGTTTGGGCCCAGGAGCTTGTTAGGCGTGAGGGTGCACAATCGCCCAGAGCTGGATCCCAAGACCAGCTCTCTCACACGCAGTTGCGAACAAGCTTTCGGTGCCTCGCTGCCCTCGCTCTTGTGCGGCGCCAAGGCCACCGCTACGACTCGATTCCGTTCGCCAACGGCATGATCGCCGCAGGCATGAGCTGCCAGCTGATCCACTACGTCCACCAGGAGCCGAGACGCTCGCGGCAGGCAATAATTCTAGGCCTCCTAGATGGGGTCGGAGTAGATGGAGTCGGAGGATCGCGCCGTATCGTCGATGCATCTGCGATGCGGCTCGATGTGGAGCCCGACTTTCTCCACGCTGGCGTCGCCGATGCATCGCCGATGTCGCCGATGCATCGCCGATGCATCGGCAATGTATCGCCGATGTATCGGCGATGCGGCGCGATCCTCCGACCTCATTTACTCCGAACTCATCTAAGAGGCAACTGAGCAATCACGACGGGAGTTGTTGTGCCGTTTTCGGGCTGGGTTGCCAGCCTGGAAAATATCCCTATCCCTATGCTCCGCATCGCCTCATCTCGGTGCCAGTCTTAGGGATTCCCTCAGTTTTTGAGGGAGCATCCGTAAGATTGTCAATGCCTTTTGGGTTGTCAATCTTTAGGGGTAGAGATCAGTTCGAGACTGGTTACTTGGGCCTTCGCCGGGCCCGGGGCCGCAACGAAAACGTCTTGGGAGGAAAAGCTGGTCCCAGGGAGAGGTTCAGACCTCCGTCGTGAACAGATCAGGACGCTGGGGCGCCACGTGCCTGAATGCTCCACGAGCCTGATGCGCCACGCGCTTCTACCAGTCGCACCCCCGATGAGCCCTGGAAGATCCGGGTCTCGTCGGGCAGGGGAGCTATGCCCCACAGGCCTGCGCCCAGCGCCGCCGGTCTGCGGACGGGGAAACGGCGAAGCTCAGCATCGCCAGACCTACCCGCACCCCTGGTGGGCCAGGGCTCCCCGGCGCCACCAGCCAGACCCCTCGAGGTGGGGATGGGTGCCGCGAAGCCCGACGGATGCACAGTGCCGTGTTGAATACATGCTCCGCGTGCGGATCATGTATTGAACACGCAGAGACTTAGTACCAAAAACAACGAGGAGTTCATGCATACATTTATTCCTACATTAGTCATGAATTAAACATCCAATGTTTTAAAACATCCTATGTCTTAAAACCTGCCCTGTAGCACCTGCCCCTAAGCTGGGGGGCGCAGGTCGGACAGGGGGGCCGGGCCTGCGCAGCGGAGATGGGGATCGGTCTGACGATGCTGAGAGGCATAGCTGGAGCTGGCTCAAGCAGTGGCGAAGCGTCCCGGCTCGCCTATATCAGCGAGCGAAGAACGGTATAACATATTTTTTTCGCCGTGGGGGACACCTGCCCCAGGGCGGCTGGAAAGTTTCTTTTATACCGTTCTTCGCCCGTTAACTATAGCCCCACCAAACCATGTTCTAAGAACTTTTTGTGGTTCCCACGAAATGTTCTTAGAATATTTCTGGTTGGGGCTGTCTTGGTTTAACACATCGGGAATCTGTTGCCACTGTCTTGTTCGCAGTGGAGATGGGGATCGGTCTGACGATGCTGAGAGGCATAGCTTTATATGTCGGGCGTGTCCCCCTACAGGGGGATTTTCGACGAAAACTAAAAGATACCCCCAAAGTAATGAAACAAATAGTCCAGAAGCAGTCTGGGGACTATGTTTTGAGCATTGTTATTTGCCATCTTGGGGTATTTTTGGGGTAGTTTCTATTTTTCGTCGAAGATTCCCCTGTAGGGGGACACGCCCGACATAAGCATAGCTGGAGCTGGCTCCGCACCTCTTTCCGTCGGCCGCGCGCGGAGGGGGGCAGGTGGAGGGGGGAAGGCTTCTTAGAAGGAGGCTGCTTCTCAGAAGGCGCGGGCCGTACCTGTAGATGGAAGGCCGGCGCCTTCTAATAAGCAACCTCCTTCCAAGTCGGGAGCCTTCAGACGGGGGTCAGTGCAAACGGGGGTCAGCCAGAGCGCCATATCTTGCAGGATCCTGCGAAGACCCCCTCTGGCTGACCCGGGTTGGCGAGCCGCTCGTGGCCGCGAGGCGGCCGCGCATATTGGCTGACCTGGGTTTGCGAAGACCTGCGTTGCAGTTTTTTTTCCTGCATTGCATTTTTTTGCTTTCCTGCTGACCCGGGTCTGGATTGACCCGGGTCAGAAGATCCCCGACTAAGCAGCCTTCCCCCTTCCCCCTACCCCCTTGTGCGCGCCGCCAATCCAGCCTTGTCGTCTCCTGCTGGATCTGCTCCCGGGCCTGCCCAGTGGCACTGCCCGGCGCCTCCCAGCTGTTCCGATCTCCTCGGCCCGTGCCACTTCGATCTCTCCAGCCCGCGCCAGTCTGGCAGCCTTGGCCCTTTCCGCTTGAGCGGGGGACCGAACATCCACAGTCTCCCTCCTCCCTTCACCTGGTGGGCCTGGGAAGTCCATGCAGCGAAGTGCCCCCCCCCTCCCCTGTCGGCTGTTGCCAGCAGAAGCCCAGGGAGGCGCAGGTGGCCTGCAGGGCACCCCTCATGCGGCCGGAGGGCCCGGGAGGCACTGGAGAGTGGCGCGACGAGCCCGAGAGCACCTCGGGCCAGGACCCCTTCTAGCAACACCCGGCTCTGCTGCTCGGAGCGGAGGGAGCGGGAAGGGGAGAGTTCAGAGGAGGAAGAGGCACCGAAGCCGCCGCCTTTCCCCTCGTGTTCTCGCCTCGTCGGGCCTGACTCGGAGGCCCTCGTTGCCACGGCTGGGTTAGCCTCGAAAATCTGGTCAGGCCGCGCCCTGGGAGAGATTTGGGGAGTAGGGGTATCGTTGTGGAGGACGATCAATGGAGAGGAAGCATGTTGCCAAGTAATTTCCAGATGTCTAAAACATGTGTAAAACAACGGTTTAACAATGTGAAACCAAGCATGCTTCAGATATGTCCAGGGCGTTGTTTTCCGACATTTCAAGCACATTCTGAATTCGATGATCGGATTTTTAGGGTGTCCACTGTCGTGGCATCCACAGCGGTATCGGTACCCTTTTCGTTTCCCCAGGGAGGGCTGGGCGGGCGGCACGGTAGGGGGGAAGCAGTCGGCGGACGCTCCCCTGCTGCCCCCGAGCTCAAAGTTGGCACGCGCGGGGGAGACTGCGGTCGACGTGGAGCTCATTCGACCCACCGCCAACTTTGAAGATTGGGGGAAGGAATATAACACAGACACAGTTAATCGTCGATTTCCCAGAAAATATGGGAAAATATGGGAACATGGGGGGAAGACAAAAGACAGAAACTATAGGAAAATATGGGGAATCTTTTTATTTGTGTGTATTTATTTGCGTGTTCCAGGGCCCCCTCAACATTGGGGGAAGGGGGGAGGCGGTGACCGATGAATCTGTGGCACGCGCGTCCCTCATCTTTCACCGAGGCCTGTAAGGGGGGAGGTGACCTAACCTCTCCTGTCACCCCCCCTCCCCACGTGTGGCGGCAGCGCGGGAGCGGAGAGTCGGCGCCCTCTGGCCGGCTGGCGGTCTTGGGGCAGGCAGGCGAACGAGGGAGGGGGGGAGGAGGAGCGAGCGAGCGAGCGAGCGAGGGAGGGGGCATGGTCAGGGAGGGGAAGGAGGAGGAGGAGGAGGAGGAGGAGGAGGAGGAGGAGGAGGAGGAGGAGGAGGAGGAAGAGGAGGAGATGAGGGGGAGGAGGAGGAGGAGGAGGAGGAGGAGGAGGAGGAGGAGGAGGAGGAGGAGGAGGACCTTGACCTTGACCTTGAATCACCATGAGCGCCATCCTGGTCTGACTTGGCCGTGCACTATGTACGGTCATGTTACACAACAAAAGCTCCGTCGACAATGTGCTGATCACCTGTCTAAGGATATGGTGCGGTGAGCCTGCTCTAGCGGACTACCTCGATGGCTGGGCCTCGAGGTGACGGGACCTGTGCCCTACGGGACCGTGTCGGTCCCAGGGCAAGTCCCCACAGTCGTCGACGCATGAGATGACTGTGGGAGGCATTCATTCAATCCCGCGGCACTGACGGTATGCTACACACGGTCACTGAGACTGCGGTCCTGTGACCGTGAGCTCCTCGTGCAACTGAGAGTTATACCAGTCTCGTGCAAGAACATATGTGCGCTCACTCGACAAAATGCTTCTATATATAGGCGTGCCAGGCATGACATTGCGTGATGCAAGAAAGTCTGTAATAATACGCAAACGAGAAGGCGCGCCTGGAACTGCGCGTGCAGGAAGAGGGACCTCCGAACTCAGAGGTCTAGTCCTGAAAACAGCTCGGTTCGCCTGAGCCGTCAGAAGTGGAAGATCTGGTGTATTACCCTGCTCACGACAAGCGCTGCGGGTAGCATCTTCAGCATGGCGCCGCTCATCAGCAGGAATATGATGAGAAGTACCATCCCAGAAGACAATATCACTGCAAGCCAAATCCTCCACCGAACTGCCGTCGGGTGCTCTCAAGGATCCCACAGACTTCGGCCTGTGAGAGCCAGAACGCGGCAGAGAGGCGAGAGGCGCCGCGGAAGAAGAAGAAGAAGCAGAAGACGCCGCTAGCTCTCCATGCCCTCGAGCCACTCCTGCAACTCCCGCTCGAGGAAGGTCGGAGGTGCCTTGCCAACTTTCTTCACCGCGCCCTCCGTGCACTCGAAGGCTTTGTTCATCATGATGCGGAACTGCGGGTCGCGAAACGCGACAGTCACCTTCTTCATGCCCCGTTGGAAGACTTTCTCCACTCGACAATGCAGCACCAGGTCGCACTTCTGCTCCATCGGCCACTTGTCGTACTCCCCGAACGCCGTGTTCAGCTCCTTGTGCAACGGCTCGGGTATCGAAAATCCTGGCGTTCCTGGCTTGACGTCGGCGTAGGTCTTCAGAGCTCCACCGAGTGAGTAGATATGAGGTGGCCCGAGGTCGTGGTCTTTCTTGCCTTTCACGTGGTCGGAGTAGTTGCTCGTCTGTTCCTGCATTGCCAGCACGATGGAGCAAGTCTCCGCCAGAAGCCAAACGTCGTAAATGACGGCTTGAAGCTCGCGTAGTTGTTGAGCGCTCCTCAGCGTTTGCCTCGACATCAGTCCGAGCATGGTCTTCTCGCCGTGCTTGAGCGCCTTGACCTCCTTCCAAACCTTGCTCCTCCTTCGCCTGGTCGGCGTCGGGTTGACGCCGGCGCACTTCGCGGCGAAAGCCGCCCTC